TCATCGCCCGCCACTGACTCTTCTCGATGAGAATAGTAGCGTTCACTACCATGTGAAACGCCTTGTGGGCGACGTCATTGACGGGATTTAACCCAGTATCGTGTGAAGTGGCGGGAATACCCGAACTCCAAAAACTCGTGGACGATTTGAGGCGCCACTTCGGCAAGACTGCCCAGACTTCGTGGACGCTCATGATCAGAAGGCCATGACACTTCGCGTCGTCGTGCATACCACGCTTCTTGGCAGTAGCCGGGGGGCCGGATGGCTATGAGCTGAGCTTAAGCTATGTTCTTGAGCAGCTGTGGCTGTAGAAACATACCACATAGGTCGCAGGAGCGTTATGAGGTGTGACATATGTCGCAGGGCGACAATACACAGGCCTCTTATGAATTTGCTGCAAGGTATACAGCGAAGAAATTGTCCAGTACTGCTGCACCCACCCATCGTTCAGAGACCTTATCGTCATCTGCAGCGGTTTAGCCAGGGCCGAACATCACAGAATGGTCCGCATTGCGGGAACAGGAGCACCTCCTATTTGAGCTCGAAATCGAGCGCGGAACAAATCCATTGGCATATCTTCTGGTACCAATAAGCGAGCTCGCAGAATTTTCCGCTGATCAAGCTCAGCTTGAAGTGGCCGGGGCCTCGACTACGGAGACGCCTAACGATCGAATAATTGCGTCTTCCGCTTCAGTAATGGGATCAAAAGAGCGGAAGCCGTATTTCACTCGAGAATCTAAGACCGATCGTAGATACGAGCGCAGCAGAGCCGCCCCTGTCAGTAGCCTCCAATTGCTGCTCTTGTGCTTCGTCGAGGCGATCGGTAATGATGCCACTGCCCCCGAAAGCCGAGAGGTTGTTTAACGGACATGGTGTCTGCTAGGTTAGACCTGGGCTCACGTCGTGCCATTAACGCACGCCACCCGTCTCGTCAATCCATGCTGGGAAAAGGTATCCGACTCGTAGTCGACACCCTTCAACTTCTAGACAAGTAAATCCGTAGCCCGGGACGGGCGCGGTGTGTTGCGCTCGGCTGCCGAGGGTTTGGGATGTATCCCCGTAAATACGCGGACGTACTGTCCAGGGATGCACTCTGCGCAGAAGAAGAAGTGGGCTTTGCCCGCGGGCGCTCTCGCTACCAGCTAGGCTGGGTGTCTGGATGTCGTAGATACGATCGACCGTCGTGCAGTTATTTGCATACATCTTTTAAAGACATCGTGGCAGCTTCAGAGCAAGGCTCCATTCCTCGCAACTCACCGTCACCTTTTAAAAGGCATTAAGCTCGGACGCACTCCTCAAATTCGCGATGGTGGCCGCCCGCAACGTGCAAATGTTGCGCGATTTGAATTTTCATATGGCGACGACCATTTCTCGATTGGAAATGTAGCATATGTCATCGAAATAAGCAGAGTATAGCTGATCGACTATGGTGCGACGCAGCTCATAACATCTAGAGTATTATAAGCAGTTGGTTCAGGTGATACCACGATGTCGATGATGACACCACATGGAATGAAGAAAGGTACGCAAACAATGGACGGAACACAAGCCATTATTCGTTGAACGTACCAAAGATGTGGGCTCAGGCACATTTGAGCAAGACACATGCTTTACCGAAGCGAGAGACTTTCACTAGAAACTTGGAATCCGTGAAAGCAAAGAACTGTCCAAGCTGTGTATCGAGCCTCTTTTATGGACGTAAAAGCTCGTTAGGATGCCATAGTGACACTACGTCGTACCCCTGGTACCGATGATTTGGTTGCATTGGCCATGATGGCTTACCTACCATAGTCGCAAAAGGGTAACGGGGTTTCACGTGCCCTGGTATGAAGGGCGTGATTCACACAAGATCGTGTGATCGCACAATGGAGCGGCTACATTTAAACAAGAAGTTATTACTGGTCTGCCAGTAATTATAAGTTTTACTTTATAGATAGGAAAACCTAGAGATTTGGATATAGACGGCTTTGCCGCAAATTAAACCGAGAGATGCGGTTTAAGCTCTAAACGGAAGAGCTAATTAGCCTTGGGTGAAGGTTGTTATTACTCTAAGAGTAAGTGATTTGGGATTCGCTACACTCGTACCGGTTTTAGTATTGAACAACGGTCACTGACCTTGGCTTAGCTTCCTCTAAGCGAAAGAGCTACGGCAGCCCTGCTGCAGCACTAGTATCAGTTTGTCATCAGTAAGTCAGCGAAGCAATAAAATGAATGCGCACTTGAAGAGCAACCACGTGATTGCTTCATGACTATCACCCCACATCATGCCAAATAAATGCTCGAAACCGTTCAAAGCGACGTGTGTGGCCCAATGCAGACACCAATGTCTGGAAGAAACCGCTATTTCGTCGCGATTAGTCGCACTTTTGTGTTGTGTACTTGCTACAAAGCAAGACTGTGGTAGTCAACGAGTTTGCTAAATTTGTTGCGGTAGCAGAAAATCAGATGGCGAAGCGGCAACGTCTGATACGTTTCTTCGAAATCGGTGCCCGACACGCGCTCTCGACAACAACGTGTCTCCGTACGAAGTTTGGACCGGCAAAAAACCTTTGCTCGCAAACTTGTATTATGAGTATGTCAAAGTTTCAAAAAAAAATAACGACGTAAATATGACGATCGCTCAGTTTGATATCGTTTTTTGACAAATACAAGAAAGCGTATCAGTTCGAGCAAATTGAGGGCCGTCGTGTATGGATATTAGTAGCGCGCAATATGTGGAGATGTTTTTGACCTAAGAGATGACGTAATATTAATGATGAAATCGCTGTTCCAGATCACGATAAAGTACAAACTTCAGACAGCCTGAGACGACAGATAATGGGGCGTAAGGCGCTGCTTTCGAGGTTGACTTTGAGAGGCCTTAGGCAAGCGACACCAACGTATGGAGTTTTTCAAAAAGACCGCCCTCCCCCGGATCAAGCTCCAGAGTCGGAATCAAGGCGTTGAAGAGATGTCCTCTGCTGCACAAGGGTTTTACGCAGCAGACAGAGCGTGAATCATGCTGTGAGTCGATCATATATATATAAACACTCGCTGACCCTGACTATACAGACATATACGACGGAGGATTTAATATTGCGCGTGGCTCAGTGTTGCTGGCGGTTTAATTCAGCGACGCAGACAAGTGGTAAGAAGGGCGCCATTTCGAAATCGAATCATTTCGCAATAATAAGACCTGGACACATTTGTCACTACCTAAAGGTCGTAAGGGAACCTGCAACAGATGCGTAATTCGCTTCAAGGAAAATCAAGATGGTATGAATGAGCGACACAAGGTGCGTCTTTTGGCGAAGGGACTCTCGAAGAAATATGGTATCGAACATGAAGAAACGACTACACTGGTTAAATCAATTCAAAATTTGCTGAGTTTGTTGGCCTAGTACCACCTTTTCGCTCAACAGATGAAAATAATAGCAGCATTTCTTAACGAACAGCTTGTAGTTCACATGACACAGCCTGACAAATCCCGCGATAATGAACATCCGAATTTCGTTTGCAAGCCGAAGAAGTCGCGATAAGGGTTGACGCAATTTGCAGCGTTGCTGCCGAAGCTCTTTGTTTAAAAAAAGCTAAGCTAAGGTTACCGACTTTACGTTCTTTCCAAGAACCAGTACAAGTGTAGCGGATTGTAATCTGCTACTTCTAAGTGCTAATCCTAACCAAGGCAAACAAATACTTCTGCTTAAAAGTGAAACTGTATCATTTGTTTAAATTGCGGCAGAGCCGCCAATATCTAAAACCATTGGTGTCATAATTAATATACCTATTCCTAATGAATATAGTAATATGTAATACTACTGGCAATCGTGGCTCCTTGTTACGGTGCAGCCACACCACTGTGTGATTACACTAACTGTGTAATACACACTTATGTATAGTCGGACAATCTTGTGCCACCCGCCCTTTCTCACAAGGGCACGTGTAACTTCGTGATCCAATTGCCTCGCATGCAGAACAACAATCGACAAATTTATGTCCAGGCTAGAATATAATAAGTGCGAGCCAGATACATTATACGTGATGATCATGACATGATTTTTGCTGCACTCTACGTCGATGATCTGATTCTTGCCAGCAGTAACGTCACAATGCTGCGAGAGACTAAAATAGAGATCACAGACATGGATCAGCTGAAGTAATTTTCGGCTAGGAAACGGGCAAAACGTAAGAATTCGTCAAATCTGGTTTGCGTCCGACAATGTCATGAAGTACAAGATAAAAACAGTACTTCCGACAAAAACACCATGAGATACCGGTCTGAAGCTGACCAGAGTCATGTGCAAAGAAGGCTTCTAACATTACGAGACGATGGCCGGTGCGCCTTGTCGTAGCGTTGTGGGATCTTTCATGTATCGCACGGTAGGCACTCATTCAGAAATCGCAGCAGCGATGTAAGTGTTGGCCGATTCGCGGTAGACCTATTTCCAGCATACTGGCAAGCGTTCAAGCGAGTCTTCAGATACATACAAGGCACAAAAACTCACGGTCGTACGCTTCAAGCGGCAAACAATTTTGGGCTTCAAGGCTACTCCGATGCCGACTGAGTATGCGACATTGCGTTAAGAAGGACGAATGCCTTTGTGAAAAACTGTGTGTGTATCAGCCTGAAAAACAAGAAGCCGAAAACCGTGGCCCTGTCGCATAGAAAAGATGAGTGCATAGCGCTGTAAAAAGCTGCGCAAGAGGCTGCTTGGCTTGAGGCGTTTTCATGTGAGCTTGGCAAGATGAATTAATATGAAACTGTCACGATTCCTAAAGATAATCAAGGGGCTGTGGCGTTGACAGAAAATTCCGAGTCTCAGAGACACAAGAAACATATCGACATTCGATACCATTTTTTTCGCAAAGAAGTCGAAGATGGTCAGGTCGTGCTTGATGTATGTCTCACGTTTGGTCATGCCCGCAAACATCTCGAAAAGCTTGTACCAGCAACGAATTTCAACTTTCTTTGCCAGCAATACGTGCACAAGCAGCGGTCGAGTCGAGCGGAATTTTTTTCAAGGAAGCATTTCGACCAGCAGCCGCTAACGGAAGATTCCAGTACTTACTGGTATGGACGGGATTGCAGGTTGCAGTATCCCAGAAGCAACGTAGCCAAGGATACAAGGTGGATAGTGCACAACGCTGAGCAGCGAAATGGCTCTCGTTGATCGGTGAGTATTTCAAAAATCCAGTGTATTAGTAGATCGTAAAGACTCACTAAAACATTTTGAAGGGTTCCGAGGTAGCAAATGTATTTGCGAACTATGAAATAAATATGCTCACTTTCTACTTTGCCTACCAGTGCTTCAATACCCTTTCTTTATGTTGGACATATTTCGAGCCATCACCGAGACGAACGTGCTACTTATTTTGAGATTACAAGAAGACTATCGCAGACAAATTTCAAAAATAAATATATGAATGCTATTTTGGCTGCTTTGAGGTCTGAACTGACCGATACAATGTTTGTTCGAAGGTGAGTTGTTGAGCAAAACAGATAGTTTTATGTCGCGCATAATTGTTGATTTGACATTAGATTGTTTGCTTCATAACACCAGCCAAAAAAGCTATAAAGCAACGATTGTTTTCAGCAATGCTACATGTACTATTGTACTTACATTTAAATGAGCTTGTCGAAGTGACGAAGCTGATAATGCTGTGACACATTATTAGCGAGAAGCCCAAAATCAAAAGTAGGAAGCCTCAACAGGCCCTGATTAGGCTATCTACATCTCGGAGATGCCGCTTTGCAAAAATATTACTTTTCGTTCGATTTTTCATGAGTAATTGGATATTGGTTTGATAAAATGTTAAATAAACTACTCTAAACAAGAAAAAAAATGCCAATATATCGCCAATAGTTAGACATGCAGAAACTTTCTAAGAGATAAATTGTTGAAGCTTGCGAGCTCTGCCTTTTTGTCTCCAGGGCACGACGTTTAAAAGATGGAACCACCACCTACGTTAAATTGTACAGAATCCTATTATATAAACAAACTAGCAGGGCACACAGCAGCCAGGGATACAAAATTGTGAAGAAAGTTGGGGCTTACTGAAGATAAGTAAAAGTCCTATAATGCCAACCATGCTGCTAAGTGTAATGGCTGCGCTGCAGCGTAAATCTGATAGGTCCAGCTATCTTATTCTAATTCTACGACCGCCCCCACCGCCTTAAGCTTCTCGATAAGTTCATCAGCCTCCTCTTTCTTTACGTCCTTCTTTAATGTACTTGGAGCCCCCTCCACGAGCTCCTTAGCCTCTTTCAAACCCAAACCGGTGATAGCACGCACTTCCTTTATGACCTTAATTTTACTTTTGGCATCAAAGCTGGCCAACTTTACGTCGAAAGCAGTCTTCTCCTCTTTGACTTCTTGAGCAGCAGAAACAGCACCAGTACCACCACCGCCCATTCCAACTTGGAAAGCCGATTCGCTAATGCCAAACTTGGCCTGAAACAGCGTTTTTACATAAATTCAGCACGAATTCAACAATGTGACTGCTATAGATGCAGCGACGTACCTGAATAGCGTGTGAAAGCTCAGCAATCTCAATCATGTTGAGTTCAAGAATCTGGTTCAGGACAGTTTGAACCTTCGGAGTCAGCGCGAGTTCTTCATCAGCGGTAATTGGCACGTTCGTAACTTCTTTTGAGAAAAATGCCACTTGATTCAATAGCACACTATTGGTACGAATACGGCGTGTGCGTAGCGCTACTCTAGACACGCGACAAAGCATATTTTTGCTGTCGACTAAAAATGGGAGCTCGATGACCACAAACCGCATGCTTTGTTTTCAACCACTCAAACGCGCCATAATGATCTATGATGACGCTGATTAGCTTATATCTGTAATACTGTTTTTAACCAACGACAATGAGGACAACAATCGGTGCTTACGTGTCGAGATGGGGGATATTACAAAGAGCAACTTTGACATAGAAGCAATGAAGTGCGTGCTGTTACTTGCGGCGGCGATGACAGTGGCCACTGTGCAAGGTGACGTTGTTAATCAGTCGGTAAGTTTGCAACCCTATATATACCACCATGTATTTAGACGAATCGTGAATTCATGCAACCCGTGTATCCTTAGATCAAACGCACGTTCGACTTGACTAAGCATGTAGTCCGTGAGCTTACCGAGTATCAGTTTTCGAACGCCGATGCCAAGGTTCTGACATACGACGTAGCTTTTCCGCGCACGATCGAGACTCATATGGCCTACGTCGCAGCGCGCTGTGGTAAGATACCGTGCGAGATCGTGCCAGCGACATCCAAGCACGCGGCCAAAGCAAGAACACCTGAGGATGTGGCACTTTACTCGGTTTTGTTAAAAAAACCTTTGGAAAAGGGTGAAATAGGAACCGTAAAAGTCACTGCCTACTTTACGCGCGTGCTTACGCCCTATCCAGCCGAAATTACTCAGACGGAAGATCAGCTTGTGCTCTTTGAAAATTACTTTTTCGTTTTCTCACCCTACGCCACCAAGACGCAGACAACCAAGCTTAAACTACCTTTGGGAAAGGTGGAAAAGATCAGCGCCGCCGAGCCTATTTCGAGAAAAGGCTCGATAGTTACTCTTGGACCTTACACCGATGTCAAATCATTCGGTGCAGGGGTTGACTCCTCGGCCATGAGTGTGCATTACAAGAACCATGCCCCATTCATGACCATCACAAAACTCGTGCGTGAAATTGAAGTGTCCATGTGGGGCCGCGTGTCCTTGGAGGAGGTGTACGACTTGGAACACACTGGTGCCAGGCTCAAGGGTGGATTCTCTCGCCTAGACTATGTGCAGTCACAGCAGCGGGGCGCTTCATTTTACGAGATGAATGCGCATCTGCCAAAAGACTCTGTTAACGTGTACTATCGGGACCAGATTGGGAACATCTCTACTTCGCGTTTACGCCCTGCGAGTCGCTCGGGCTCGTACCAGGAACTTGAGTTTAAGCCGCGGTTTCCTATGTTTGGTGGATGGAAGAGCCAGTGGTATCTTGGCTACTCGGTTCCTACATACTCAGTGCTTACGCACGTCGACAACAAGTTCAAACTTAAAGTTGACTTCTCGACTCCTGTTCAGGGTGCTTCGGTAGATGATCTTACAGTGAAAGTTATTCTCCCAGAAGGTGCCACTAACGTACGGGCAACCGTCCCATTTGGCTTGGATAGTCAAAGCAAGACGACGCGTCAGACGTACCTGGACACGCCTGTGATCGGCCGTCCTGTGCTGATTCTGGAAAAGAAGAATGTGGTGGCTGCTCACAATGTGCCTTTCGAGATAACATTTGATTTTCCGAAGCACTTCATGATGCACGAGCCTATATTGTTGGTATCGGCTTTTCTATCCTTCTTTGCGATTTGCATGCTTCTTTTCCGTTTGGACATCAGCATTGCAAAGAAGCCCACCATGAAGAAGAAGACGGAGTAACTTGATATAATACATGCAAGGGTAGTATCTCGTAAATTGTATTACATATGGTATGCACTACCGTACTACACTCAATTTAAAGCAACGCATTATTTCGAAAGAAGTAAACATATATTTTCGACTACTTCTTAGATGTGTGAACTGAGATCTACATACATAGCTAAAGCTTGGGATATTTTTTGTCATCTAATAGTGCATCTCGCACAAAAAATAAATTCAATCCGCGCTAGCGAACTCACAGAGGACAAGATATTATGCCCCACCAAGGATTTGAGCCCAGAGCCTCAAGCAGCTGGGTACAAGTTTGTCATTACGACGACATATATACAAATTCAAATAGGTAGTAAATCTAACTAGGTAGTAAATCTAACTGAATTTGTATATATGTCGTCGTAATGACAAACTTGTACCCAGCAGATATATCTATCTGTCTTGATAATAAAACCATGTCTAACGTAACGGGGTACGTACCAAATATGAATTGTGCAAAGGTCATATGTACCAAAGCACTGGCTCTGATGACTACGATGAGACTCCACGAAAAGGAGGTACGTGGAAAAAGGTGAGCTGCTAGCCTGACGCCTTTCAGTACTGGCAAATGTACCGGAGAGCATACTCCGTTTGCGCAATGGGTGCAAAAGAAATGTCACCTCAGACGTCACGCTAGGCGTCGTTTGATATTTGACTTTGTGAAGCACAAAACGCGACGTGGATGTTGAGACGAATGCTTACCACCTCAGACCTTTATACCAAAGGCCCTACCCATGTCCGTGAGCTCGGTAACACAGCTACCGACCAAATATCGCGCTTGGAACAAGGCTAAGCTCTGCGCTGGGTGAACTTGTCCGTCTGCCGAGAAGATAAAGACAGAAAGTGTGGCAAGTCACAAGCGTAAACGGCATCAGGATAAATCTGCCGATATGGGACTTCAAATTTTCCTGATTTTCTTAATGAGAGTAGCCCTTTCACCTTATCAGATACTGGTGACAGCCCGGACTAACCAGTCGGTACATATGAAGTGGGCTACTCCTTGCTCATCGAGCAGTGCTGGCGGACGGACGATCCTCATATGGTAGATCTTGTGAATTATTTCGGTTATGGCGGCACGTTAACCCTCTGTCTGAGCGAATTCATACTGAGGTGAGCCACATTTTGAATATTCTCTGTAAGCTAGGCCATCGCAAGAGTGGCACGAGGTACACCATGCGGCTCAAAGCCACATCGCTGCCTTACAGGAGAAGGTAGCTCAGCTTCAGCTGGAGATGACTGGAATGCTCTTTCGAGTCCAGCAGAGTGCCGCATCTTGGTATGACTCTGACAATCTCGTGTAGAACACAGATGTATTTGTATTTTAGACGTGTTTTCCATACAGCTTCAGCAGCAGAAGATAATTGGGATCACTGCTTAGGGTTCAGCAGAACGCCTTGCTGTCATACAACTCAAACAATCTCACGTAGTACACAAGATGAATATGCATTTTGTAAATGTTCGCATTCTCGTTTGAATATTGATAGTTCGGCTCCATAGCTTTCTCACTTCGACCGTAAACGGATCAATGAGAGCGCTGGCAACATATCCTATAGACTGTGGCCACTGCATGTGTAAGCAGGCTGACAGCATGTAATATAGTGCTTTTACCCACTACATGTTCATGTGTATACTGTCCGTCTTTGGCATCTGCATATTGCTTTTACATATCTTAGCTCTCCGTTATAGCATCACACACTCGGTCCTCCAGCTTTCTATGAGGTGTAGCCAGGCTGATACTGTATCAGCAAGCCAAATTATATCAATTGCGTCTCCTTCAAAGTTTTACTAACTACTGATAAAACTGGTGTAAATTATGTAAAGGTGTGTACAGCGTTATTTGTTGCGCTACGAATGAGCAGAACGTTTTACCCCAGCACCGTGATATCTCCGTGAAGCGCCCCTCTCAACGCGATAACAGACCATCTGTCTGGGGGTGTTCGCCGGTGCACATGTTCAATCTAGATCTCAAACAACGTTCGCCAAAAATTTGCTGTAGAGCTCAAAATCGAGCCGATAAATGACCATAGATATACCATTTCAACAAAAATCTTTGTCAAAGAATATATTAGTTGTATCCTTACCAATCACCGTGTCACTGATAGCAGCAGTTACTGTCCACAAAATCACGATACCTATACTTTTGGATGCCTCATTGAAAGATTAATAATATAGTCAGTATCAATGAATTACCATCATTCTACCACAACTGTCGAGCAGCTAGAGAACCGATTCAGTAATGTTCGGTGACATTTATCACACTTTCGAACCAAAGTTGTTACGCGACTGAAAACGTTGAGTTACAGTCCAAAGCGCTCAATGGGCCATACGTCTTATCTAACCAGATTGGTCACTCGGATGTATCACGTTCTTCGTACAGCATTTGCTGTACTTGGGGTTCTTATCATGAGGTGCATTGCCACCACACGTAAAGTAGCTAGTGGATTAGTGCGTTAACAAGCTTTGGGATTAAAAGCCGTACAAGCTTGCAATCTACTTCTTCAATAAAGCGGCATCTGAATTTTAGAAACTTTTTGTTTCTCATAGCTTTCGACACTGCAGCACATGATGTATCTGATCTGTAGGCTGCACATGCAGTCTCATCATTGCGCGTCGTTTCCACCGTGATGTGCACCAATAGCTTACAGTCTGGGCGATGCGAAAGCGCATTATTAACCACGTTATGCCGATCCTGCTTTCACCTTACCTTGATGGCATACGCGGTAAGGATGGACAACTATCATTATACCGTTATCTGTGAGAGATGTGGTAATGACGCAGTTGTGCGCAACGACGCATGATCTGTTGACAGAATACGAACGGCTGAGAGCAAAACAGAAATATTCTGAGCTTGATAGTAGCACACTTCATAGCAAACAGCTCCGAGTCATGAAGTAAATTGACCATTTCTACCGCTTAAAGCTGGCAAGAGTCAAAGCGACCCCGCGTTCATACCATTAGCATCTTTTTGTGATAAAGTACAGCCTATGGCGAAGGCGAAATCGTCACAGATAACATAAAATTGCCGGCTCGTATTCAGAAAGGAGGAATCAGAACGCACTTAGGCTTTCTTTACAATCCTTGAAGCCCACCTCTTCTGTCGCACCCCGATATCACTTGACGTCCCCGTTCAACGTCTACGACAACCTTAAATGCACAATCTTCTGAAGCACTCTGATCTAGATCTCCTTCTATGCATCGACGAGAGATTCCCACCAATTTTGTCTGGCTCCGGCAAACGAAATGACGAACGCATAAAATAAAAAGCGCTGCCCACTCCTCGTCAATAAAAACGAGAAGGGAACTGCCGTGCGGTGCATGGCGCAAGCAAGAAGCCGCGCGGCCCGATTATGATCCGCGGATGACTTGGCATCGACCCTGCGCGGGTCTGCGTTTGAGCTCATTGAAACCTGAGGGTGCTTACTCAACGACGAAGTTGGCAATGTCGCCGGATCCTCACCAGAGGGTTTTTCGAGCTCGACATCGATGCTCACAGGAGACATCAGGCCAACTCTTTCCGGCACGGCCAAGTGGGATTGCAGGTACAACGAGCAGTGCTGGGCGGTGAAAGAGACCGATTTTTCGCAGTGGCTGAACTTGCATCGAAGATCCTTAAGCTACTAGACTGTGTATGGATCGTTAAATTTTATAAAGACCTGACTTTTCGCTCGCCCTTGTTCCATGGTCAACACTAGTATACTATAGTACTTAACACCCGCCAGGATTTGTGCCAGGCTGCCCGATACTGTTGGTGTTGGGCTTTGGAATGTTGGTGATAGCCGCGGTAGCGTGACGCGCCAAACGAATCAACTTTCATCAGCTATAAAGAACATGTTTTGACCCACAAGCAATTAATTAGTTCACTAATATGCCAAATCCAAAGCGTTCCTTTATGATAAAACATTTCTATGCACCTTTATATCTGGCGGGCCCGTTTTGAAACAATTTAAAAAAATGATTCACTATAGATAAGCATTGAGTGACATACATAAATCAATTTGTCACTCATTCTATTTTAAAAGTCGGGTATCTGATGACAAACAAATTTATAAAAACACGGCAAAGAAATATGGTATTTTACTCCGGGACTCGAATTTGCTGGGGTAAAAACAGCTTACCTATCGCGCAGGCTATAGGAGCAGGCAGGCAAAAGCGAGCATACATAAATAACAAAACACCACACCTGCGCACATATTTCAACCAGCGTATATACCTACCAACTCGCGTCTAAAAAAAAAAATCAACATAAAAAAGTATGACCATCCTGTATTATACTTGATTAATTTTATTTGAGTTGGATATTTCGTTAACCCTTGATTTTTTATTTCTTATGAAAGCAATGGTCTATCAACATATATTGTTGATAAAAATATGGCAAGTAGCATAATGCTCCTACACCAATTTTTGATCCCTGGCCAGCTTCCGTATTGCCTGGACAATATCGAAAGGCAGACAACATTTTCACGATAAAAAACACCAAAAATGTTACAACTATAGTGTATACGAATGAACGACCCTCACATCATCTTCATCACGCATAGAATAATGATCATTTATGGATCCCTATACATCCCATTCGAGACGACACAAAGACATAAAGAACTAGGTTGCGAAATCGTGTAAGAAACGTGATGTTATCACACCAGGCGTCGAATTTGAGCTTGGTACGTGAAATTTAGCTAGCCTTAACGCCCTGACTACATCGGAAGTCCAGAAACGGACGCATATACTCAATATGAAAACTACACCTGTTTTAACACATCGCTCATCGATTTTGACAATTCGAGTGATGTTTTCAAATGAAATTTCAATGTAAGTTCAAACCTTAAGTAAGCGATGAACGCGATATATGGCTTTTATTAGATATATCAATATTGGAAACTTACCCAGAAAGTGAAGTGCAAATACAGCAATTATATTCGCTGAAAGACATGTCTACACTTCATCGATGTCATCTATCGTATTAACCAAAATGAAGTTGTAAAGGCGGGCTTGTATTGGATGGCAGGAATATGCAGAAACATATGTGTGCGCCCGTGCCAAATTCCTGAAGATTCGTCAAGGTCGTTACGACCTACGCTCGTATGCACAGCACGCTCGTTGCTTGGTATCGAGCATTGTTGATGATCCAATTGATTATTCAACGCAAGTTGTAACGTTCATGGCGTTTCTAAATGATACGCCGATCCGGAACCAACTGTTTTGCGACATCCCCCAAGACACAAGACAAAGCCATAGAAATCAAGCCATGTTTATTGGCTTCGTGCCAAGACAAATGCGTCAGTCGACAGCTACAAGCGATGTTTCAGATCCAATGAACATCTGGTCCATCTTTGCATCACAACGATGGAAAGCTCTTTTATTTTGAGGACAATGGATAAATTGCTCGAAACTACCGAGTATATTTGCCAAGTTGGCAATTGACACACGATGCTCGTTCGGATCACCGCGGACGTTATGAAGGCTGCCGGTTTTAACGCTTCCAAGGTTTTAAAACGGGAACAACTAGTGGGGGTTAGGGTCTCTACTGTACCTGAGCCAAGGTACGAATACTGTGGATACACAGAACTCTGGCCCCAGCGTGTATGATGCACATGCAGTTTCCACTAGGACTCATAGTAGTTTCCTACTAAGTACGACCTGGATTATTCAAGAACTCTTTTGTAGATGGTATTAAATAACCGCTAAGAGCTTTGATTGACACTGGTGCGTCGAACAACTTTGTTCGAACGCAAGTTATCACTGGGCATGGTGTCAGCATGCCCAATGTGAAAGACAGAAATGACCATTCATTAAGCGAATGGACCTACGGTCAGGTGCCAAAGCATGTCGTTTGATTGGCAATGAAGACGAAGACTGAGGATTTTTGAGGTGGAAACGAGTTTATCTTATTCGATCTCGATGAAAGGTTTGTTATCACCCTACTCAAGCCAACATTTCGAGCAAGTTTGTAAATGTTGGCAACGAAGAAGGTGACGACGATGTTATCCGTCACGTGAAGATTGAAAATCATCTGATCCAGTATAAAATTGTTTTTCTTGCCTTTAATGAGCAAGAAGACGCATAGCCTGGCGACAGGCAAATTATCGAAGATATGTGCGATTGTGGAAGAAGCTATCGATGATGCCATCAATACATGATGAAAAGACACGAAAGGAAAGGATTGATGAGCAGTCGATTTTAGCACAAATCCCGTGAATGGATGCAGCGGGGCTGCCGTAGCTCTTTCGCTTCGAGGAAGCTAAGCCAACGTCGGTGACATTTGTTCTATACTTAGAACCAGTACGAGAGTAGCGAATCGCAAATCCCTGAAGCCCAACGCAATTATATTCTTCCACTCAAAATGTAAATTGTATTTCTTAATTTTATTTGCGGCAAAGCCGCCTATATATAAATCTATAGATTTTTTTCTTAATTGAATAGTAAAACCTATTCTAAATGCATGACTACTGCAGTCCAGCCACGTAATGACTTCTTGTAAAGCTGTAGCCAAAACATTGTGTGATTACACCGTGTTGTGTGACCCACACCCTTTTATGATGACACCATCTTGTGTAACCCACCCCTTCATACCAGGGACGTGTAAGCCGGTTACATCCTCCCCATCAAGATATTGAGCACCCACGATTCACATTTAACTGTTGCTTCGCACGGGGCTCGCGTGTCTAAGACACTATTACATCCCAAGACATTCCGCACGCAATCTCTGCCCAATGGTCCTTATGTCTAGGACATGAAAGACACCCAGTCTCGCAGGTTCCGAGATCGCACGCGGGCAGAGCCCTTCTTTGTCTCCTGGACGCGACGCAGCTTCGGACAGCACGTCCGCGGCTTCGAAGGAAGCGCATCCCAAGCCCTCGGCAACCGCGCACCGCTTCTGCCACGGGCGACGGATTACCTTGTCGAAGAATTGGAGGAAGTATACTACGAGTCGGATATTCCTTTTCTACAATGAGAAGAAGTGAAGGGCGAGGTGCGCCAGCAGCGCGGCGTGAACCCCGCTCGAACCTTGCCCGTTTCTCGACCTCTCGACTTCCTGGGGAATCGGTGTAATTGTCAATCGCCTAGACGAGGCACAGAAACAGCAGCTGAAAGCGTTCTGCATGGCGGCTCTTATGCGCTCGCATCAAGGTCGGTCCTGGATTCTCGTGTGAAATACGGCTTCCGCTCGGCGGATCCCGCTACAGAAGCGAAGGACGCGATCACTCGATCGTCGGACGTCTACGTGGTCGAGCCCCCGGCCACTACAAAAGCTGAGCTTGGCGAACAAAAGCTCTGCAAGTTCGCTTCTTGGTTCCTCAATGAATTCTGATGGATACGTACCGCGCTGGACTCCGCACCCTCCTATACCCGTGATGAAGACGATTCCTGTTATGTTTGCCCCTGGCGAAACCGCTGCAGATGACGAAGAGCTCTTTAAGCGAAGGGTGTAGCGGCACCGAAAATTTTCCTAGCTGTCCGACTTAGAGCGGAACCATAAAGAGGTGGACGTGCTAGTGAAACGCCATCTTCGGTTCGAATTTGCCAAAATCAAGACGCGCCACCGACTTCCCTTGTATTGTCGCCCTATGACGTTTGGATTTATCCATCATGCTCCCGCAAGCTCTGTGGTCTCTCACACGGGTTAGTCCAAAACCACAGCAGCTCAGGGCCATAGCTTGAACTCAGCTTACGGCGCTTCAGCTTCCCTGGCTATTGCTAAGAAGCGCGAGGTGTACGTCAACGCGGAATGTTATGATCCTTCTGATCATAAGTATCCACGACGTCTGGACAGTCTTGGCAAAGTGGCACCTCAACCTCCCCCGGGTTCTTGGAGTCGGGAAATCCCCCTCCATTTCACATACTGGATTTGACCTTGGCGACGACGTCGATCCGCAAGACACTACATGTGACAGAGGACACCACCGTTCTCGTACGGAAGAGTCGGCGGCGGACGATATCGCGTTGGTAGATCGCTGTCCGGTGACTCGCGTCGAGCTTTGAGCTCTTTGGGACAAGGTCCGTCGCGATCAGGACTCCGCTGAGCGACATGCTGGTATCGCATACCGCTGCGCGGAAGCCCTAGAGAGCACGTTGTGTATCGGCTGTCTCACGTTGAGGACTATAGCGTTCTGTCGGATCGGCTTATAGCCGTTAGGCAGACGTATGCGTCGCATCATGCTAAGGTGGAGCACTTGGCGCCGTTGAAGATGGAGATCGTTGTACTCCGTGCTCTGAATCAGTTGCAGGACCAGATTTTGGGTGGTCGAGCGCTTTTGGTCGTCGCTTCGGCGCCAGTACTTCCGCGTTTTTCACTTGCACTGGATCCCGATACGGCTAGAGCAAGCCACATAAAACACCGAAATGGTGTGCATATGTTTCGGAATGTTTAGCGTAAACGCAAGGCCCCGATAGGCCACGACCTTAAAGGGTCTGACAGACCGTGGGCGGAACTTCGTCGCAAAGGGAGTAAAAACGGCATGTCTAGGAAGGGTTTTCGCGTTTAATATCACCAAATCTACGACCTCAAATCTTCTGCCATATCTTCTGCTTCTTTCGTCTGCATATTCTTTCTGTATGCCCTGGCTTTCAGCCATTGCATCGCGAACGTGTCGTAAGACACTCAGTCTGGTAGACGGGAAGTCGTCGACTTCTTGGCGAACAGTGAGAGGGCTGACATCAGCTAGCGGCTCGGCTATCCTCCTCCATAAAGCCCTGATTCATGTGATAGCGGCGTCAGCGGGACGCGAGGATGAATGAATTCGTTCACGTAGAATGCCGTGTTGCCGGTAGACGAATGCACTGCATGATTTTGAGCAAACGCTACAAGTGGCAACATGGCTCTCCAGCGCATCGGAGTCTCAGCGCACACGTTACGAAGGACGTTTTCAACGACGCGATCCACGCGCTCGTGTTGGCCATTGATATGGAAATGGTCCGCTGTTGACCTATCCGACTTGGTTCCCAGCACCTTAAGATCGTCGACAAAAACTTCCCAGTGAATCTTTGTCAAAATAAATTGACCCAGGTTGTATATGTTGTCGATAGACACGATCCACAAACAGCGTCGCTTTACCGACACCATCGATGGTGTCCGGCACCGCCGCAAGATAAAGCATCTTACCTAAACGGTCAACGAAGATCACGACACCCGTGTTGCTCGCGTCAGACAATCGGAAATGAAAATTTGTTACGGAAAGTAGTAAAATGTATAAATTTAGTCAGTACGAGTCTAAGTATCATTTTTCTCCACTACGTGTTCCTGTAAAGCAGAGCAGCTTGACAATGCTAATCATCTTAATTGCTTCGAGTTCTACTTCTAATTTGAGCGCACGAACCCGACCTCTGTAAACTTTAACGTGGACTCTGAAAGTCAAGGCTTTCTTTGTGCAGAGTGCAAGGTGACTCCGCTAGACTTTGGCACCATTTGCACCCAGTCTTACAACCGAGTCGTGGCACAGTGAAGTTGGAGAATTATTTTGAGGGATGTATGCGGAGACTAAAATGGTGATGCTGATGCCGAAGACGGAGATGACTCGTCATTTGACGACACTTTTGAAGCACTGAGTGCAAGGAGTGGGAGTATATTTCTATGAAATCGAACGGATTTTATTATATTCAGCTGAAGCCATATCACGATGTGATAGCACGAGTTCGCTACCTGCAAAAAAAGTGCGCCATCAAATGCTGCTGGGGAGCGGTAAGACATGCGGTCTTCAAAGCTATACATATGAAAAAAATCTAAGGGTATACAAGCATGCATACATAAATGTATGCATAGAATTTGCTATACTAATTCGTGTGTAAAAAATCAAAGCTTTTTACGTGCCCGATCTTGGCTCACTCAAGTTCAAAGAGACGATTTTAAGACTCTATCTCGCTTTCGCCTTTGCAATAGACCAAAAGATTTTCAAAGCAAATTTAAATGGTCACAAATTTGGGATAGTCTTGCCAGCTAAAAGTTGCTGACAAAATGAGCATTTATATCAAGAAGCTATTTGCAATGAAGAACGCACTCGTCAACTTAAGGTTAAACGTGCTAGACTCCACGTTGTTTGTGACTTACTTAGGTCGTGCGTCGTTATGCACAGCGAAGTCGGCACCACATCTCACGCGAAGAATGGTAAAATGCTCATTCCAGTAATGAACCTGGTTTCTCACCTATGTGCGCATTTGACTCAAATACTATGACAGTGCTCATACCCCCGCTGCGAAATGGAGCTCCGACACCACAGTACATGACTCAACAGTCCTCAATGTACGATCCACATTTTCTTTGTTGTGTATTCCTTTGTGGCTAGGTAAAAGCTGGGTCGCCTAGAGTGATGGCGCGCACGCTTTTACGTCGCTCGACTATTAATCGTTACATGTCGTAATGATGACGTCTCAAATTGAAATTGACAATGCGATACGGACAGCATACATATGTTCTGCTGATAGCTTTGAAAATTTTAGGGTTTGAGAATTCATCATCATTATACCGCGACTCACTGCTGCTTTTGCCTTCCGGACTCTGCTCAAGTCACTTTGAATATAATCAGTAGTCGTTTCAGACATAATCACTGTACACGGGAGCTATCGCACCCTTGTTTCCGCGTAAAATGCGCTTTTGCTCCATTAATGATGTAATTGTGCAGCTCACTGTAACTCTGCCAGGAAAAAAGTGTACACAGCACCCCATGCTCAATTAATCCATGACTCGCTCTATTTTAGCCGCGACAGACCTGAAAAAATATCATACGTCAAATCCGGGTCCAATACGAGACAACGCTTCACGCTGTTCAGTCCTTGAGCTTCACTTAGAAATCTAATAAACCCTTCTATATTTTCACTACTGACCCCGCCGCAATACGCTCGAATAGCGAAAAGCACACTAAGCGTCTTTAATGCCTCCACGCGCTGTTGACTGTTTCGGCAGTCGCACGTCTAAAGGGTTCGCACTCATGACTTCTCGCTGTTTACCAAATCCTAAGTAATTGATTGATGAGGGTAACTAGCTACCCTAAGCTAAAGCATTGCCTAAACCTCACCTTGGGCGAGTCGCTTCTATTACAGCTGCTCCCCATTGACCAGGAGCTCCACGATATACGATATAATCCACATTTTTCTTGTTAAACCACGCTGCACCTTCTGAGACTTGATGTGCTCGCTTGAGGTGTTCGTCCTAAAATGTAGGTCAGACCCTGCATACTATTCGGTCAAGTGCGATAGAATATTCAGGTCGCAAATGTTCTGTACTGCCACGGATAAATTAGTTGCTAGTACCGCGGAGCTGCTTAGCTGGTGAATGATCACCTTTTTATTTCTAGCTTGATTGAATCCATCCCTCCTCACGTGACCACATAGCTTGACCTTTTGCATCTAGTATTGAATGTTGTGTATCAAATGTGCGGCATTATTAGCCACCTTGATGTTGGGCTTGTGGAGGACGTCTTGGGAAAGACGGGTCTTTGTATAGACGCCCCATGACTACGGTAACTGTTGCCTGTTTCGAAAAAGAAATAGTTGACATACCGTTCGTAAGAGCGCTCAATTCATGGACGTGGTCCACCAATTTTCTCGGTCCTAGACATGTAAAATTAGAGCTTAGACCGCACACTATGGTCTAGATAGTCGACCCAAAGACTTGCGGCGTTTGTTGCATGAGTAGTGCACATGATTAAAACATCTCTTTACTGAGGGTCATATCATTCCCGATCACGCGCCTGAACCCCTACCTTGTAGATCAATACTGAGTAGCGCCGTTGCTCGGTCCAGAGCAAGGCTGCCCACGGTCATATCAACCTCTTAAAATCAGTAATCAATACTCTCACCGCAAATATTCTAAGGTTTAGCAAGAGCGGATATTTCGTTAGGAGTCTACGGTAAATTCCCCTAATCCTGGTCGAAAGTTGCCTGGAGGTGTATCACCAGTGCATTCCCGTAGTTTGTAAAAGTGCACAAGCAAGCCGTGGCCTTTTCAAGGCCGTGAGATACCAGGTTTGTTATCCTTTTGACATCAACTAGCGATGTAACTTGCTGATCCATAAGTGCTACCTCCTTATTCGCCAAAGTCATGTTTTATCTTGACGTACAATAGAGCCTCCACTGGACAAGGTTTTCCAGTGGAGGCTGTCAGCTCGTAGATGAAAGCTTTGTCGGGATTTCCCCAGTTTTCCCGCTCGCCTTCACATGAACGAGCCGTTCTTCGAAGTGGAAAGCGAACAAGGCTGCCAATGTGGTCGGAGTCAATATACCTGGCACAAAGCAGCTCATCTGGTTTAACAAGCCCAAAACTCACAGCGACTTTCAGTAAGGTCGATCGCGACTATATCACGTCGTGACTATAGCTTTGGTCGACATATCTGACGAAACACGTTTGAAGTACCTCGGTGAGATGTTTATGATCGTCTGCATGTGGACCTGTGCTCATGCGGATATCTAGACCAAAAGCAAGACTAAGCTCGCGAGCTTCTTCTGATCCGACAGGTCAAAGCTTATAAAAAGTATCGCTTCTACTTAAATCAGAAACTCAAATACACCACAACTCTGATACGATTCGAAAGCTTTTAGATACCTGTGCTTTATACAATGATGGACTGGTATGTCGTCGGATCAAACGTCACAAAATAGTGATATGTTAGACGGACCAAGGGATATATCCACTCTTCAAAATCATTTACAGAATACAGCGAGATCGATATCATACAAATGACGTGCGATTCGTCAAACCAATCGATTAAGTCGAGAGCGCTCTACAGAGCTCATGAGGGCAACCTTTTTGGAAATTTCTTCTGGACAGGCGCTTCACAATCAGTACCCTCAGATGCTTTTAATGTTTTACTAGCCCATGAAAGAGAATAGGCTGAGTTTCATCTTGAGAGGTTAGTACAACTTGGTGTCCCCATCGTATTGCAATTTTTTCATGTATTCACTGAGAAAAAAATTTCAGCTTTATATGCGCTTTACGCTGGGGTGCGGCTATAAACTCTTGGCTTCTTGGACCTGTGTACATCATTGTTCTCCATACCACCGTAAAACTTTAACGGTGGTCTTTTACGTAATGTTGCTGACTTAGCAGATCCGTCACACCTAGACTAGAATAATAATTTGCTCTAACATCAGTCTTTGACCTTATCCACAGTCGTGTGTCTCCATAAACATTTCCTGGAGACCGCGACAAACGGTCGCAATACCGCCGGGAAATTTTAAGACTGCGGATCACAGAATATTTTACCTTCCCAGCTTTGCTCCAGGCTCTAAGAGGCATTCTTGCCAGATAACAAGAATGAGATATGTCTTGCATCAAAGTGATCACAGCTTGGCGCATGTTCTACACGCGATTCTACTTTCAAACAGAGTAGGAGTTATAGCTCGTTAGAACTCCACTAGGTAAGAAGAGCATGACATTTCACAGTTTGACTTTTAGTTGATACATGACTCATGACGTTCTAAGCAGGCCATAACTAGATTGAGTTCGTCTTTCGAATCCAGGTGAAGGATTCAGCAACGTTTAACACCAAGTGTCTCAAGCTTTGAGTAAAGTTTCAAAGACGCGACACACACTATACATTATCCGCTTACACCATTTCCAAAGTTCACCAAATGCCAAATGTGTAATGCGCATGTACATCAAAATAGGGTTCAGACCCCGTTACAAATTCTTCATCAGGATGTGCATTACACTTGATCGCACTTATTCTGTCTTTAAAACGTTGCACAAAATTGAAAAACCATTGTAAAGTTTCTCCTTCACATATTATACCTAACAAAAATGCTTCTACGAGCCTAATTCGCATCGAAAGTTCTGTTTGTGTGGCTAAAGACGATACTGGGATCGGCGTGATCCTCGCGTTCGACAACGTAGAAGCTGGGTTGGGTAGATCAGCCGCGGTCGTCTTCGATAAAAATCGCCAGAGTGACTCACCTAGCTCCATCCAGACACCATTGTCCCTACCGGAAACATTGCCCCTGCTGGCACGTTTGCTCTTACCGAGTAAATTATGGCAAAGCTGATTCGTCTGTGAGACCGACACAGACACCTTACTGATAGCGAGCTGCTGTCTTTGCTTTGTCACGTATCTGCACAACTTTCAAATCACGACCCCGCTCACTACGGCGGATCATATAACGACATCTTGCTGCCAATGTTTCGCCGACGTTCAGCTTGTCACCGATGTGCAGGTCAATAAACCGAGTAAGCTGTTCCGCCCGTTTGAGAGCGCAAAGAACGCAACTTTAGACGGCTCGATGACAACGTGATGATGGATCCACACAGTCTGATTTAGCTTGCAATGTCGTGGCGGAACTCTTGCAAGCATATTCGTGCGGGCTTTCGCACAAACAGATAGCAAAACAAGCGCATTCAACCTCTCAGGTTTCCCACCAGTTCTCAGAAATAGGACCTGCACTTATAGCGGCACCGGTCAAGTAAATTTGTAACATCTTTGAATACGGCACATTGGATCTTAAATGTTGAAAAATGTACGCTCTCAATATACAGACTAAGTGAGGATAACACGATTCTCACCGCTCTAGCAGTGTTACAGGCCAATTTCAGTGGAGCAGACGTTCAACAACAATGTCATTTTGTTCTTAAAATTGAAGGGGACAAAGAACGACGTGGCCGGTGAGGTGAAAAAAACATGCTTATAGTAGTGCAAAGACTTACCAGTGCCCATTTCTGCGGATCAAGTTACAATCTTAACACCGAGATTTTGGCGAACCTTGATTTCAAGGAACTTGGCAGAGTTAGAGTGTCAACCCTAAATTATTTACAGATTGATATGAAGGTGAAACGCTTGGCTCCCGTTGTGGGGGATATCGTCCAACGCACTTGTATGTAAACACCGCAGTGGTCGTGGAAATTGCTTCCAAGCTTTAAAATGCAGTTCATGCTTTTACGAAATTTGCCCCTTCGTATAAATGGTTTGTCTAGCCTCCGTGTTTCTTTGAAACCGCAACGAAGTGACTTTGGTCCTGGCTGTGAGGGGATGTAGAAAATCTATGACTCCCTTATAGTAGCTCGATCACATTTTAAAACAAATTCAAACATTTATTTCAACAATGTCAGGCGATAAGTACCTAGTGCGCAACGCAATGCCAAAGAGATATGATGAGCGAAAGTAAAATACCGCTACAAGAGACTGGCAAACAAACATGTAGTATATGGGGAGCTCTTATCAAACGCCTTCATTCCACCATCATATTTGATGCATGTAGGTTATAATATTAAATTAGGTCCAGGATCCATCAGACCGATTACGGTCGTGGCCAGAAAGGGATCGAACTTCACACTCGAAACCCTAATAGAAAGCAAACGAATTCTATGCTCAATTCTTTCTTTTACCGTTTCATCCAGATGAAAAGCCCTCTGTTAGAACCAGAGCAGCGTCTTAATTACCGCATGTAGCTGAGTAACTCTCTGCTCTAGGAAAAAATATAAGTTCTAAACCACTGTGGATACCTCAACTCAATCCGTGCGATGGCGAAGATCTGAAAGTGCATCCAAAATAGTGGCCCATCTCCATATCAGCCTCACACCGCGACTCTTCAAGTACAGCCATAGCCGAATGAGCCGCGTGAGGATCCATGGGAGCTGGAAATGCGAAATTAGCAAGGATTAGACCACTCCCATGTGACACGGTTGTTGGTCTGATGCGTGTACCCGGGCATCTACCAGTATCGTGTAAAGTAGAAGGGATAATCTCAACCCAAAATTTCATTGGAGTTTGATATTCTACCTTGGCAAGATTCTCGAACGCTATCGATACTATGACCTGGCGCCTCCTCGGGCTTCTATTCCCTGGAGAGGAGGCAGGGTCGCCTAGCACAGAGATTTTCCGATAAAAAGTTGGCCCCGCCTTAGAAATTGAGCATACAGACTAGGGCAGTAGCTTCGGTAGCCATCTCATTAGGTCAAGAATAACTGTTGACCGCAACAAATTGAGGTGCTGATTTCTTAACTCACCGACCCTACGTGCTTGGTGCATCTCAAAATATACCATGTAAATACGCTGTAGGCAAATGTTTGCTCACTGAAGTTGACTTATACAGCTGCTGGAGGGGTGAAAAACGTATCTTTTTCACTCAGCGACCAAATTGAGAGCGTAAATTCAGCAGCATTCAAGAAGTATCGTCCTCGTAGATGTAACGGGTTATTACGCAACCTCGTATGATAGGGCGGGTTGCACAAGATGGTGCGACCGTACCTAGGTGTGTATTACAGAAGTTAGTA